TCTTGTATTCCGATAAAATTACTTCTTCGTTTTGTTGGAGGTCAGCGCCTGCCCTCTTGCTCCCCGCCACTGACATGTTGCATGTTGCAGGTCTCTCTCTCTCTCTCTCACACACACACACACACACACACACACACACACACACACACACCTGTCTCTTATACACATCAAAGAAAACACAAGTGGTTAACAGGGACCTCCACAGCTCCTTGCTAACGGGTCCGAAATTGAAATTAGGGTTTGAGGGTGGGGGCGATACGGGAGGATGTTCAGAGAAGAAGAGGGAAGAGGTTCAATCATGTCTGAAGGAGACACGCAGACGGGCAGAAGTGAAGATGAGGAGAGGGTGGGAGGGGGCAAGGAAGGGAAAAGGGAGGGGGCTCAGAGAATAAGGGCCTTGTGAAAAAGGACATACATGAAACGAAAAAATAACAAATGCATCTTTCCACAGCAATTGGATAGATTCATCCATTACAGTGAATAGTAACGAACGTATCTTGCCAGCTTCTGTGTACGAAGGGGTTCAGAAACGACAAACTGGATGGAGATTTGGCAAAGGTACAAGCTCTATCTGCGGAGAAGGTATTTGACCGCGATTACGGCCAGGTTCAGTCGAGAAAGTCACAGTAGTCCCTTACGCAACTCAAAAATAAGGCCTGGAATGAGAAGAGATTTCAATCCTTTTTTCCCCTCCTTTTTGGGTCCCTTCCTGAAGAGAGAGAGAGAGAGAGAGAGAGAGAGAGAGAGAGAGAGAGAGAGAGAGAGAGAGAGAGAGAGAGAGAGAGAGAGAGAGAGAGGGAGGGAGGAGAGAGTTCAGTCTCTGTCCCACTCAGCCATTAAGGGACGGCAGGACTGGTTCCTGACTCTTGTTTTTTTTTTTTTTCTGCCCATTTCTCGATTAATGCGTGTCATCCTTGTGCAGGGACAGGGACAGAGATTGCACTCTCTCTCTCTCTCTCTCTCTCTCTCTCTCTCTCTCTCTTTCTCTTTCTGTGTGCCGTTCCAATTTTAACGGATGTCTATAAGGACATACCGTTCCTTACATGTAATGCTATAAATGTGGTATTAAAAAAAAAAAAAAAAAGAACTACGCGGCAGCATTGAACTGTTTTTTTCATTTTCAAGAATCCTTTTTATTAGGGTCCAGTGCCCAAGGCAAAATACATGAGATACATACAATTTGCTTGTTCAGGGGCCACGCCACGAGGTGTGAAAAGTGGAGCAAAATAACATGCACCAAAGCAATCTATTGTATTTTCTAGTGCAAAATGTGTAATCTATTAAACCGAGTATTTCTATTGCTAAAGTGTAATCTATTACACCAAGTATTTCCATTCCTGAAGTGTAATCTATTACACCAAGTATTTATATTCCTCAAGTGTAATTTATTAAACCAAGTATTTCTATTCCTCAAGTGTAATTTATTAAACTGAAGTGTAATTTATTAAACCAAGTATTTCTATTCCTCAAGTGTAATTTATTAAACCTATTCATGGAATTGCACATGCAATTCCATGAAAGAGTAACATAACACAAAAGGAGAAATTTGAAAAAAAAACTGCAGACAAGAAACAGACAAAACCACTGCCCAAGAGAAAATCAGGTGGATTGCATTTGGGGAATCGCACGACTGCTGGCAGGCATGACCTTGGGGGGATAACACGACCCAAAAAAAAAAAA